GGCAAAACTGGATGTTTGTGTTCCAGATGGTCTTTGCGATGTTCTTCTAAGATAGAGAAGAAGAAGTTGGCACAGTATATGCACATTTGTTTTCTTTAAATGTGGCAGCCTTTCTGTATAGACTTGGTACTTTGTACAGCCTAAATAAGGGTCGCCAGCATAACAAAGCAGAAATATTCACTCCATTAAACAGCTACAGAGGTTCAGCACACACGTTTACTCACGCATATGCTTGACTTGACTTAACGATGTCTATCCATGGTGAAAACTGAAGACATCTACTCCACCTGTATACTCTCATATGAAGCTGCAGAGTTAGGCAAACAACACAGCTCGCTGTAATTCCAGATTTCCCTTGCTCACCTCATAATGTCACTGAGTCCGAGACATTTTAGGATGTGTCCTGCACCTGCTCATACAAAGTGCCACCTGTCAGATTCATTCCCACATATAGTAGTGATGGGAAAGTTATGCATTTAACTTGTGTTCCTCTGCTCCCTTGGGTGAAATGCCCAGCCTGCTTATCAGTGGGTTTAACTGTTTAACTAAACATCGAACAAAAGGTTTGGAAATTAGTGTTTGGTAGATTATTTCTCTGTTGTAACAATGCTTCTTGGCAATAAATGTTATACCGTTGGAAAGCCTGTTTATTTACCTTTCAAACAGTGCCCCAATTGTAAGGAACATGCATTTGTGGGATGAGTAGCACAGCTGAGTATGTGGGTTGCGCCCATGGAATATTTGCCAAATCTTCTCTGCCAATGCCAAACAGCTTATTCTGCTAGTAGTAGGCAGCATGAGCTAATGCCTGGGAAAACAAATCAATCTTCTCATCTGAATCTTGGCAGGAGAGCAAATAAGTGTATTTTCCAAAGTGTCAAACTATTCCTTTAATGTACAGTTGACTCAGATCTATACGAAAAGTGTCATCATGTAATATTTGCCCATATTTAACAGCCTTATAACAATCAGTGGTTCTTTAACAGTTGGACTGATATTAAATCACCTCTGTCTGCAGAGGTTGATCCTTCATGCTATCATGAAAAGCTTTACCAACAATGTTAGCCACAAGAATGCATGCATGTACCCAACATGCACATCAGTTGTCTTTCTGTTTATGCAGTCAAACACACAATGCAAACAAATGAGACACATTTTAAACTGACCCATCTGCTGCTCACACTCAATCATGCTAGTCAAAGTGTCAAGGTACGAGCTCGCTGGGAGACAAGTGAAAGTAATGGCAGACCAATCTGCAATTCTCCCAAATGGTGTTCTGATTCGAAATTGCCTCAGAGAGAAATGATAAGCTTTACTGACTGTAGAGTTGTGAGGAGCTCTCACAGGCACAGCAAAAAAAATAAGGAGAATGAAAATGAACAGCTGCCAGAGCTTCAGGATCCAATTATGCTTCACATCGGCTGCTCTGCGGAGCTGATAATATCACAGTAAATGAATAATGTGTTAAAACTCATCATCTGCTATAATGGGAACAAGTTTGATCAAGGGTGTGGAGTGGTTCTTTAAAAAGTCAAGAAAACGGCTTTCTCTTTAATAATAAGCTTCCCACAGTCCATTTCAAATTATATTTTTGGAGCAGTGATAAATAATTGCTCTGATTTTTTGAGTATGAGGATTTTATTTTATTTTGAAGTGTGTCTTTTGAATCTTTCAATTAGTATCGGCTCAGTGTGCTTTGATTACAAAAAGGCTCATAAGTTGTGACACAGTAACTTTTGTAAGGACTGATGACGGTAAATTTCCATTGCTCATAGTTTTCTACTCAGTGTTATTAAGATTCAGTTAAATCGTTTAATTACCTGTCTCTAATTCTGCAGCTTCTGGCTTTTGGCTGGCTGAGTACATAGTGGTGTGGGCATGGTTACTTTTAGAGTTGGATGTCTTGTGACTAAACACCTGATCTTTGTGTTTACTTTAATATGCTAAACTCAAAGCATCACGCTATGGTGAAATCTGTGTCTATATTACAACAAAAAGAAAAGCAACATTACAATATGCATCACATTGTATGGTCTTTATCATGTTCATGATTAATGTGTGTGACCAGAAACATCTTTACACCTTGTGAACATTGACAGGGAAACAATTGGTATTTGGTCAGGGTGGAAGGGAATATATAAAACCAGAGAAGAAGCTCCTCTTTACGAAAGTAGGAGTCCTCCTCATCTCATACATATTTAAAAGGGCTCGATTTAGAACAAACTGCTGAGTTGGCCCGTTGATGTTTCATAGAGGAATGAGGCGCTATTTGGTTTTGGGCTCTGCATATATAAACAAAAGTGCAGGTATAGCTTGCCAACGGGGATGAGCTATTCTCAGAGCAATTTCTGCAGGTAGCATCATGTTGGAAAAAGTTTGGCTTGGTCCTTGACAGCAGGGCAAACATTAACAATGTGTTCTTTCAGACAAAGTGGAAGTCTAACAGCTGATCTGCAGAATCCATAGGATTTACATTTAATTGCAACGTATGTTTGTAGATAGTAAGCACTGGTACTCTTTGTTAATAAGGAAATTGTCAGACATGTTTTATCTCATTGACTATGGTACACACGTCTATTCTCCCACCACCCACACACAAATTGCCTATTTAAGCCACCACTTTCCATTTATCCCACTTTGTTTGCTCCATGTCAGTGACAACCCTGCTCTCACCTTCCCCACTCTCCAAAACCTTAAATTGCTGTATAAGCCTGTCCGTCAGTGTACCAATAGAAGGGATGGTGGTTTGTCGTTTTCTGCTTTCCGGCTAATAAAACTGAGGTATAACTGCTTAATCAGTGTCAGATGGCCAAAGCCCCGGACGGAAGATAAATGAGCCACACGTTCGTCGTTAAAGCCTATTAGAGGACAGGCTGGGAAAGCAAAATACAGGCGATTAATAGAAAACACACCAAGGCTCTTATATTTATTTTACAATATGCTCACCAAAAAGCCAATGGGGGTGATAGAATTCCATTTTTAAAATATCTTAGTCTCGCTTTTTACTCATCTGTGCATAACCTCCTTGGAGTAGATGAAAAAGATTTTGCACATGACTTGAGATTTTTCCACTCATTAACCACATGTAGTACAAAAGGACTGTTGTTCCTGTGCAGACTACATCATTATCGGTTATGTATGCTGGCTTTTTACAGTATTGAAATTTGCTTTGATGCAAAGAAGTTGCACTAAAACTTGCTGCACTACAGAGCATAATAACAAACACGACCTCCTATCGTCAGTAATTAGCATATTTACATATTTAGTTGATGAGCTCGGGCAATATCAGTTATGCCAGCTACTTATATGATATACAATACAATCAATATACTTGTATTATTAAGGAGAGCATCTGCCGGCGGGGCCTCTGCTAAAGCTGACTGACATGAAATGAATGGTCAGGATTAAAGAAGCTTAAGGTGTTACTATCTCTTTAGAGATATTTAATAGAGCAGATTAATTCCCCTGTTAAATCAGACAATAAAAAACTCTCCAGCTTTTCACTTCATTGAACTCTTCAGCAGTATGCATTTCTCTTCAAGTTAATTATAAGAACCATCCACGAATTCTTATGTTGTGATTATGCACATTGGATGGTAAAATGAAAGGTTAAATGTGAAAAGAATACCACTCTCAGCATAAAGACTGGACAATTACCTAATGAGATATGACAGGTTAATCTGAGCTTTTGAGGTGTTGGTAGGCAGATATTTTTTAAACCCAAAACTGTTTCCCAGGGCTTCCAGTCTTATAAGTACAATAAAGGATAAGCGTGTATTGTCTTCCTTAAATGTAACAGATTTGGACTCAATCAACAACATCAAAGCAATCACAGCAATACATTTTGTGAGGGTGGTGAACATGGAAATATGTATTGCTTTTAATTATTCATTGGTCTTTTAATTATTCTGAATGACACATAAATATGACAAGCCCAGATAATTATACGCCAATAATTCTAAAATATCCATCCTCCATCTAAGCCAAATCTACTTAAACATTCACTTTAACTTCAAAGTAAATGCATTATTTTTGCTGACGCTAAAGCGCCATTATCTTTCTATCTTCTGCAACGTTGACTATGCATTTGTTCAAAGGATAATGAAACAGTCGTAGTAGGCCAATTATGTGGCTTTAAGTTCATATCCCCTGCCATCTGATTGATTCGCTGTAAATAGCTTAGTGTAAATGTTGACAAAGAGTTAATTGCCACAACATCACAAATCACCTTCCTCAGTTCTCTGTGCCAATTAAAGGCACAGCAAATCTACAGCTATAGTGGCAGCATGATCTGAACTACCAGCCAAGGTTCCTGTTGCATTGCCTGGGGGGGTAAACTCAGCAATCTAATTTTAGTGCTTTCAACTTCCCCCATCTTGAAGTGACTATATATGTTGGCCTGCCTTTCATCAACCCCCAGTCCTCATATGCAACCTCCCCTTTACTTTGAGGTTGTTTGACATCCACTAAATGGATCACTGAATTTAGAGAGTGACGGTTAAAAGCGATCGTCCTTAAGACAGACACTGGCTGTTAGGAAAAAGTAGTGAAATGAGCGACGCACACAAGGGAGAACCATCATGTCTCATGAGACTCTACTTGGAGCAAATGAGAGTCTCCCAGAGAGGATTATGGGAATCCCAATCACTTCAAGCTGCAAATAAAAGAAATATTCAACTTCAACCAGTATCTCTTCTATTTGCAGATGTGGGGCAAACAAAAATGTTGCAAATAAGACTAGATCAGCAATCTAGCAGGGGACAAACCCAACCCCTTTAACCATGAAAATTACATATGTCATATAAAGTGCAATTAAGCTGATGCAAGTGGAAGATGGGAGGCAAAGGCTTTTATTTCCTTCATCACAGTATAATTACTTCAAATTGATAAATCAAATCTTCCTCCTAAAGTGGAGAGGATTTAATCTTGTGACCATAATGATCATGATGATGATGACTGGCCGACGCACATCCCTTTTCCCTCCTGAGAGATGACGAATGAGCGGGTCTAGGTGGGAAGCAGTCTTGGGGAGGAGGATGAGGAGGAGAACCCACAGTCTGTGACAGTGACAATTGCTTCTCTCCGCGGCTTTCCAACCCTGCTTCAGCTTCATCATCACCAGCATCATCATCATCATCATCATCATCATCGCCCTCAGCAACAGCCGCTTCAAGCCGCAGCAGTGGGGGCAGCGTCCATCGACAGCGTGGAGCACAAATAAGCAGCACGCATCTTCAAGAGGCGCTCGACTCGACGGGGAAGATGGGGAAATGGCAGTTGGCCAAATGTAAGGATCAAGAGATTAAACGAGGTCTTGATTTATGATACAAACCCGAGTTTATGCATCAATAGGAAATATTCAAACAACAAGAGGTAAGACGATATTGTGTTTTTCTTACTGCACACAGATTGCCTGCTATGCAAACGCCTCATAGGACCGTTCTTAAAAATGTCCATTGACAGCGATTTTTCGGAATCTGGGTTGGACGCTCTTTGCCAGTTTTAACCTAAATTAAACTACATTTTAATTGAACATGTATTTATCTAACTAAATTCTGAACGAAGAAGAAATTATGATTTTTGTTCGTAGTTTTCTGTCTCGAATTTCTGGAATTAATATTTGATCAAGCCATCGTTAAATTGGATAGAAGCGCTCACGGCACTTTAAGTTTCTTTTCAGACTCGCAAAGATGAAATGTTTTTATATATTTTTTTATCATTATCCCTCGATCTGACGTTATATTACAATCGTTTTATTATTAGATCAAGTTTTATTCATGTATGTTCCCAAAAGGACGAGCAATTGTATTTAAGTGGAGAGAAGGCAAATACGAGTATTTATCTGCCCCCTTGTGGTTTTATTCATGCGGTGTCTTCGGTGATTGACAAAATGAATGTAGTACAATAATAAAATGGAAAATGTTTTTAAAATGTGTTTGTTGCTGATATCTACAGGATTTTATTAAATATATACATACATATATTATCTGTTGATTTTATTATAATTTGGTAATCTCACCCTGAAACAAAATCCCGTTGCTGTTTTAAGGAAACATCCAAAATCTCTCATGACTGATGGGACCATCCAAACTATACAGCACGATTTAACCCTTTCACACAGTCCTTGTTCCAGGGTTTGATCATTTATGGTGTGCAACTCCATTCATCTCATAAGTGGCCCACATTCATGTATCGTCCCCTCTGTGGATTCCTGTTATGTAATTTCATCCCCATCAGACTGCATCAGCCTCAGAGTGTTTGCTGCTTGGCTTATTTGAGCTCAGATGGGGTATTTATAGAAATAACACAACACAAGTGTAAGCCTAGGCAGAGTAAAAGGTAAGTGAGATAGTGGTGATACAGTGAGTGCGTGCTTTATCTGTGTGCATGCATGCATGCCTTTGAGAGAGTGTGTGTGTGTGTGTGTGTGTGTGTGAGGGGTGGATACTAAGAAAACTATTTGTGAATTACATTTCTCTCTGTTTCTAAAAAAGCTCTGTTTTGACTTATTAGGGAAATTAAATCAGACCACAGGGCAACATGTATTTGATTATTAGTTCCAACACACTCTCATCCCAACGAGTCACATGCTAACCTTGCAATGATTTGTGTGTTATTTTTCAGACTACCCCATCTGAAAGCATAAGGAAACATGGATGTATCTTCATCCTCGCTGCAGTATGGATCAAAAAAGCGGGTAAAGATTCACCCAAACACAGTGACAGTGAAGTATGCCACTCACTTCCCCCAGCCTGGCGATGAAGGGTACGATGATGCACCCTCTTTTGAGGAGTTTGGTGCCTTCGCCGAGGCTAATGTGGGAAAGAGACTGGTGTCGGACACCAAAGGTAGCAGGACTTTGTTTGGAACCATGGAGACCCAGCCTAAGCAGCCAAGTGTGCAAAAAGACAAGGGGGTAGGGGGCCAGCTGGCCAGCTTCGGAGAGGCGAATGTGTTGGCCTCCAGGGTGACCTGGATGGCCTTGTTTGGGGCAGCAGTGGCTCATGGTTGTGTGGCACTCATTACTCGTTTAGCAGCTGACCGCTCTAAAGTGCCCTCCCTCGAGATTCTCTTCATCCGCTCCGTGATCCAGGTGCTGTCCATCCTGGTGGTCTTCTACTACCACGAGGCCCCGTTTGGCCCTAAGGGCTACCGGCTGCGTCTCTTCTTCTACGGTGTGTGCAATGTAATCTCTATCACCTGCGCCTACACCTCTTTCGCTATAGTACCACCCAGTAACGGCACCATCATGTGGCGTGCCTCTACCACAGTCTTCAGTGCGGTACTGGCCTTCCTGTTGCTGGATGAGAGGCTGGGCTACACAGATGTGGTCACGGTTGTGGGAAGCGTGTTCGGTCTGTGCCTGGTCATGGTGCCGAATGTGGCAGACGAGGAGAAGTCCAGGCTGGGGTTTTGGAAGGAGGCCTTTGGCTACACAATGACAGTGATGGCTGGCTTGACCGCTGCCCTCTCCATGATCGTCTATAGAGCCATTAAGGAGCGGGTCAGCATGTGGACGGCACTCTTTACCTTCGGCTGGACGGGCACGGTGTGGGGTGCCTCCACCATGTTTATCATGCAGGAGCCCATCATTCCTCTGGATGGGGAGACCTGGGGCTATTTAATTGGGATCTGCATCTGCTCCACTGTGGCGTTCCTCGGAGTCTACTATGCTCTAAACAAGTTTCATCCAGCCTTAGTTAGTACAGTGCAGCACCTAGAGTTCGTGGTGGCCATGTTCCTCCAGCTCATTGTTCTGAGGATGATCCCGTCTGTCTACGACGTCATCGGAGGCCTGGTCATCATGGTCAGTGTGTTCACCCTGACGGGAGTCAAGCTGTACAGGGTGAGCAGGGCCATTCGGCAGGATTATCAAGAGATCCTAGACTCACCCATCAAATGAGTTTTGATATGTCAGTCTATTTGTTTACAATGTTGCTTGGTTGTGCAATTTAAAGAATGTCTGGATCTTCATCTGATGATTTTGTATTGCTGTGTTGTTGGAAGGGTGCCAGTTGTGTAACTAATGTCTTAATATTTGTGTGTGAAATAAAAGACAAATGTAACATGGTGACATATGTCCCCCTGATAGTACTGCTTTAATGTCAAATTGTGTCGAAGACCAAAATGTCCAAAAAAGAAGAAAAAACGAGTCAGTTTAATTCATGTGATTTATTTTGCTCTAACATTTTGAACCATGTTGAATCTGGTCTTGTGAGTGGTGGTGTAAGATAACCATTTTAATGATACACACCTTTTATAGTAATAAGGTGTGGTGCATCCCTCTACTGTCACACTGCCACAGTTGTCTCACTGTGTAAATGTCAGCCCAGAAATCATTCATACTACATACAAGGAATGAAAGAATAAAAATAAATACCATCCATGTTTCATAAAATAACTGGTATTGCTTTTCTTAGCCTTAATCTGTTGCTTGCCAAGATGTGTCATTTCCTCAAACAAAATACTATAATAGAGGAAACAGCATAGGAACAGGGGTGGCTATATGGTTTATGGAAGATCAATCCTTAGTGTATGCACAAGCTTTCCCTTTCAGTGCTTTCTTTCTGCCTCTCACGTAAGTTCTTGCACCAGCAGCCGCTTGATATTTAACACTAGTGGTTACATCCCTGGGCGCTGCTTCTGTTTCCTTTCAGACGCATATCAAACTAATGCCCAGAGGCAGGTGCACTGTATTGAATTAGTGCCCTTTTACAACATGAAACCATCAGATTTTTTTTTTACTAGTGGACAATTCAGTGGTTCACCAGTGCCGTTTCCTTTCTCTGTATAGAGAACCAAGCCCAGGCAGTCAGTCTCTGTGATTTCCCCACGGCAAAGCAACAGTGATGGAATGAGATAAAGACATAATGATGACGCAGAGCAGATGAAAGAGGCCATGTTGCGGTTCAAAACTGACACGACATGGATGTTTCACAAAGAGCCCAGCAGGTGGCATTCACAATCCACTACATCACTTAGTCAGAGTTAGCTGTAGTGAAACATTATTACAGTCAATCATGATGGTGATAGTTTCATATCCAGTGGTTGATAATGATTAGCTGAGGACAGTTATTGCATCAAAACAACTCAAACACTTGGCAAGACACACTTCATCCAAACCCTGTTTATTTAGTGAGCAGAAGTAGAATTATTGGACAACGTAATGACCTGATAAAGGGTTATAAATGTATGACACTCTGTTGAATGTTTAACATATTTCTATTGCAACCGGAAATAATCAGCATTGTGGTTATAACCACACGCAAAGCAGAAGTGTTGCTCAAATCAAATCATTCATTGTGATGATAATCTACTACCACTAAAATGATAAGTAACCCACAAGCTTAATTAATTTACAACCAAAAGTTGCACAACAATCATGAACACGTAACAATGTGAAATTGTCTTTTACTTTGAAGACACACTTTGCCTGTCATGTCACATTTTCTTTTAAAACACTATGGTTGAGAGCTAAAGTTTATTTTTCAAACTAAAAACATGTGAATAAACTGAGATAAAGTGGGTTTGGTCTCCATTATGTGTGTTGTATCATCGTCTTGTTTTGAGATGGGATGGAATTGGGTGCAGAAAGCAGAAGACATGTAGAGGACGCCCATCTGTTTGAGCAGGAAACAGATTGCATCCTGCAGCGAGCTGCACAACCTTCCAAATTACTCTGCAACCCGCTTCACCACAGACATGTTTATTAGAAATTTCATTTCCCAGGAGAAGCCTAAATGGAATTTTATGATGAGTTATTGTACATATCTGTGTGAGTGCCTTTATTTATGCTGCACAGTAGATGACTAATCATTTGAAAGGCTCAAAAACACTAGACTAACAGGGCTTTCCAATTATTATTATATGTATATATACTGTATATATATCCATCCATCATATAAGGCTTCTTCAGGTACAACATATTACCAGCTGCAGCCAACATTTAGAAAACATTTATAAATTAGGAAAAGGTGCGATCACTTTTTAATTTTATGTAAGCTGATTGTCTACACCTTTTTCTTTATCTAGTTGTCAGTTAAAAATAGATTTGCAAAAATTGCAAATTATCACTTTCACTAAATTATACAGGATGACACTCAGCTCCAATCAGTTTTTAAAGGCCTAAAGTAGGCTACATCTTTTTTGATGATGATTGAGCTTATGGCCCACTGATGGAAGTATTGCAATATTAACATATTTACAGTATTACAAACTGGCTGTCTGTGGCAACATAACGGGGAAAAATGCTGCATTATAGTCTTGTCTCATTTGAAGACATACAAAAATGGGATTTATACACATTTCTGAAAAACAAAAGCTCATGTATCAACAGAACTCCAGACTGCTAAACTCTGAGCACAATTTTCAAAGTTTTCACTCAAATATAAATTCTAAATCAACCAGGAAAGAAATCTTAAGGATTGCCACTTTGAGTATAAAATAAAAACATACATCTGTATATCTCTCTTTTCACACACGTTTCTTGTATAGCAGTGATTAGGTTGACTTTTTAGCCTCTCAAGGCGAAAATCTTGATGGATGCTAATGGTAATATAAAACATCAGCAGCTGCAGTGTGATAGACTGACTGCGCTGTGGTCCAATCATTGCAGAGCCGATTTCTCCGCAGCCAATTGGATGCAAGTGGGCGGAACCTGAAATCTGAACAGCTTGTGAGGCTGCTGCTAGTTAGCCTAGCTACCCAGCAATGACATGCTTTGATATAGAAATGCTATTCCAACGGGGCACATCGTCTCATCAGCTAGGCTAGCATGTCGGAGTGGAAAAAAATAACCGGCCGCTAGCAAGGCTCCTCGTTACCATTTGCGTGACGCTTGTAGACATTGAATATTTATTAAAGGACACAAGAAGAGGTAGTCATCAGCAATCAGGTAAGACGTGGTATGATTCTGACTTGCCACTGACGGTAAAGCTATCTGATCCAGGCTACCACACTAACGTTTCTCACGAGCGCTAACGGTTACAGGCTAGCTCGCGCTATCCTTGAATTCACCGAGTAACGATACAAGTCACGACGGCTAACCGTTAACCCAGACAAAACCCGTCTGTCGCCTTGCCAACATGGCCAACATACGGTTACCCAAGCTGGCTAGCGGTTAGTTTGGCTGTAACCGAGTTATTTGTAACCATTATAAAGCATTTTTGGGGGAAATTTCTTTGCCAGGAGAACGTTAGCCAAGTTAAGATAGCGTGATACACTTTCAAGCTTAAGTTACAAGATGAACGCACAGATAAAACTGCGGCACAACCTCTGCATGTAGCTACACTTGGCACCACGTTAACGCTTTTTTTTATTTCTGAGATTGTAAATGGAGAGGTCGCCTAAACGGTAGCCACAGTATAGTCTAAGTGACTGCAGTCACTGAGTCCCATTGTTTGTATTTTTGATTTAACGTTAAAGTAATCAAGCTTGAGTTGTTGTGCAGTGATTTAACCCAGCTTGGTCATTGTCACGATGGAGACATTCCCTATAATTAACTTATGATTCCCTGTAACGTTACTCTTGTTACACACACAAATTGTTACTGTAGCCAGCCTCTTCCTTGCCTACTAATATGGCATTTGGGTGATGCATTGGAATTAGGAATCGTTTTCATTATTTGTTTATCTATGTTTTATTTTAACAGTTAATTGTATCCTATGAGATGAAAGATGTCCATCTCAGTTTAGCAGACTCTAAGGGGATGGCTTCAGATATCTTATGTATTATGTTTACAACGATATAAACCAGAGATAACCAGCAAATCTTCACATTGGAGAAGCTGGTACCGAGGAATATGTTTTTAATTGAAAAATGAGTAAATAATCTGTCAAAGGATTTATAAATTCAGCTCCCAATTCAAAGACAGAAGCTGCATACTTGAAGGAAAATGTCTGTTAAGTTTCATCTACCATTAATAGGTAACCAAGTGTACTGTGCATGTGAAACCATTTCTGTTTTGCGGCAAAATGTTAGATAATTGCTCCCTTTGCATATCTCCTAACATTGTTTCTACCTTACACAACCAAAGCCAGACTAAACGTCATGCTTCAGCTGCACAATGGGCGATAACGCTGTATAATTGTTGGCAAGCTCTTATGTTTGTGTGCCGTGTTACAATACTTAGATACCAGATATTAATGTGGAGATGTGTGGTTAGTTTGATGTGAATGATTTAAGGGGGGTAGCATGTGTGTCTTCACCAAATGCCAAAGGGCTTCTTTGCAGCTGCTGAATAGTCTAGTTTCTGTAATTATTGTCACACTGACGGACCTCTTCAGTCTCTCATTAAGGTTGCATGGAGGTGAGAGGGGGGGGGGGACATTTGGTCTGCTGTTGCTCTGTTCTCAGTGGGAGTCAATAGGTCCAATTTGCTTGAAGGCTGATATATGCTCTTGAGCATTGAGGCCAATTTGTAAAACATGTGAAAATGGCTATTAGGAGACCCATAGAGAACATTTGCGTCCATCCAATGCCAGGTCTTGCACACCAGGATCCAGGACTCCCCCTGAAGTAAAGCTTTCAGTATTCAGCTATGCATGTTGATACTACAGTGATGTGGCCGTCTTTACTTAATCTGTCTTATTTATAGCTCCTGTGACCCTCTAACAATGCCATTTCTTCATGTTATGACAGTATAATCATATGGATATGCAGTGATGAGGTCCCTTTTCCTGCCCTTGCCTCTTTCTCAGTGCCTGCTATGTGCTACCAGTGGCCTCAAGCAGCCAAATCTGTGTCCTCACAGCCTATAGGGGAAAATACCAACTGTGCATTTTTGTGATAGGCAAAAAATCTAATGTGGCTGAAAATTTCCCATGTCAGATGACAAGCCAAGGACTCTAATGTATTTACGTGGCTTTTGGTTTCTATTGAAGTTGAGAAAAAATGGGGATTTTTTTTCGTAATTGTGTTATAATCTCAGTTATTGCATATGCTCTCTTCCATTTCCTCATTTTCATGACTGCTCATACATGTAGGTATGTCAGCCAAGTCAGCCAACAGGAAAGGTACTTTCTGTGTTAACCAAGGTCACATGCTGAAAAAATAACTGCCTTTTGTCAGGTGCAATAAGGTGAAGAAAGTAGAAAATAAAAGGAATCTCAGCTCAACAGTTAAAGCACACTAAAGCAAAGTTATCAAGCTCTTTGGTGTGATGACCTTTCTCTTCACTTCTGCAAAACTTCACGGTTGTAGGCTATGTGCGGTTAAAATATCTGCTATCATTTCTCATTTGGAGTAAATGATATGACTTCCTCATTTGGAGGAAAGAAGAGTGCAGTTTCAGTGGTGTTTTTTCTCCATTAGTTCATTATGGTTCAGTGTTTTTCTTTCTGTGGTTTGTGTGTGTATTTGCAACATGCAGCTCTCATCGTGATGACAGAATTGGTTGTGAATCCATGACTAAAAATACAATTGTGAATTTGTTGAACCAACAACAGGTGTGCCTACTGGTATACTTCACTCTACCAGTGTCCTCTGAGGAATTTTACTCAGTGGTTCTGTCATCAACATTGGTGGAACCATTCAAACCTTTAAATGGTTCTCTTCATATATCTCTATTGTAAGACTGTATTTTTGGCAAAAATATGTAGGAGTGTACGATTTAAAAAGTATAGTACTGTGTACAATTTGTTTTTTTTAATGTGATAACGGCATCCATCAAATTATTAATTATTTTTTAGTTAATCTCGTAAAATGTAATGTTGGTGAGAAACTTTAATAAATCTGTTTTTTTGAAGGAGATGTTATAGATATTAGAGTGAATTATGACCAGTTTACACTACTTTTAAGCAGCTAACAATACATCATTAAAACTACAAATGACGATTTGTTTTACTCCATAATGATACAATATGTTCTTATTTGAATTTTGAACTATAAGTTACTATAACAAAGTAAAAGAATAACATTTATAATTTGTGATGGTTTACAATGACTTGAGAGCGGTTGAAATGGTTTTTGTGAAGCTGGCAAAGAAGCCTTGGAGCCTTGTAGACCGGCTATCAAACAACAAAGGGATCTGTATCTGCTAAATATGGATCATTAATGATCGGCAATTAGTGGGATAAAGGATCAGTGGCAAAAAATGGGATAAAGGATCTCTAAAAGTTATATTTGCTGCCTTTTTTTTCTTTTCAGAACCTGTAACATTTGAAATGATTGATCTCGGGAACCTTAAAGCTTCCACTTAAGTTTAGTTTGACAGTTTTGAGTCTTTTGTTTTTAAGTGTTGTCACATGTGAGACAGTTGTTTTGTTCATGTGGAAGATTTAAATAGGAAAATAAAATGATACAATGTGATGAAGTACGGTATGGGTATTAAATCCATTTCTTAAATACGGTGATATAATGTGTACCATGAAAGACCATTTTGGTCGTATTGCTCTATGTCTGCTGCTTGTCAGTCAGGCAGCACAGAGGTGAGGATGTTTGTCTCGTCTCTCCTGTCAAACATCTTGTTGGTTTTTTGCAGACCCCAGATTTTTT